TTTCCCCTTGTCCTGCTGTTATTTATCCTTTCAAAGAGTTGATTCCCCTTCTGTTTTAGTTCCACTCCCCTGATCATCTTCATGTCTCTCCTCTGTTTTTCTCCCATCATTTAACTTTTTCCTGAAAATCATCTCTCTTTAGACTACCACCCCAGACAAAAGATCTCGTATCCTAGGTGTTATTTTTAAATCATACTCGCAGAGATAATAAATATACTACCCAAATAAATCAGTGGGAGCCAAAACTGAAGCTTCCAAAAGGACTGTACTACCCAATACAAGTTCAGTCCATAATAAAAGTGCCACCAGTATACCTTTGATAGGTCACAGGGCAAACAGGTCCTGTTGGAATTCCATTCTAGCTCCTTGTGCAAAGAAGTCTAGACCCTGTAGGGTTTTCTAAGGGTTGCTTCACAGATGCAGTAGCGCACATCAGTTATAGAGGTTATAGAGGCTTATAGGGGTTATAGAGGCTTTGTAAGAAAGTTATATTTGTTCTTGAAGGTAACAGAGGAGATCTGGTTGAGGTTCTTGCTGCTTTCCAGATATGATTATATATAAATCATGAAGGACATGTTGATTTCAAAGAAGTTGTTTCAATTTATGTAGCTTATACGTATGGCTCATCTAGTACCATAGGCACTGCTCTTGTGTACTTCCTGGTACTGCTTTCACATTGCTCCAGGCTCTGGTGAGAGCAAATCAGTTCACATCAATTGACGTGAACAGCGCTATGATAGGTTACACCATCTGAAATATGGACTTAATTTGCAAGCCAACGCCAATTTGATCTGGCAGTGACTTATAATGACAGTGAGCAGCTGTCAAGAACACAAGTGCATGGAGATAGAAAGTCTGGGACATCTACCTGAATTCTTCATTAATTTATTGTAACTTTGCACATATTCAGTAAAATTCATGTTTGCAAGGAAGCCAGGTGAGAATTAGGTCAAGTAGCACAATTATCACATATTTGTCCATGAAATTTTCCATGGAAATTGTTGGAATTATACCTGCTACTTTCAGTTCTAAATTCTCATTATTCAGTTCTAAAGCTCATTATTGTTTCTGATGCTTTTTGATCAAATCCTTCAACCAGCTGACAGTTTCAGAATAAGAAAAAAAAATATTTGTTTTATGATTCCTGGTCCATAGATTGTTCAAGTCCTGGAAGGTGCCTCCGTATCTTTGTCTTGTTCCTTCCTATACTCTTCTCCCAGCAACCTGCTGTAAGTCAGTATTGATAATGAGATGCTGAAAGAGCTGATCTTTTGGGGTTAGCTGGTTAGGGCCATTTCTTTATGTATGATGAAAGAGCAAATTAACCTACATTTTGTCATCAAAACTAAGAGATGAAAAGTAATGTAATTTCATCCAATTCTGCTTATATTTCTGAGAAATTAAGGAATTGCAAAACTAAACTAAAGTGAATAGTTGCCTTCGCCAAGATCGCATCACTGATTTTTTTTTTTTTTTCACCAGGATTTTTTATTTAATATATTTGTTAATTCCTATTCTATCAAGACTACAAATTTAGCTAATCCCATCAGTGAAAAATGACAATGAACACTGACTTAGTAGGAAATAGACTGTATCTAGGATACAGAACATCTCTGTTTCTTGGACAATGCCCTTGCCATCTGTGGGATGAGTTGACAGATAATATCAAATTAGTACAAATCTTTGTTAAAGTAATCATAAAGTTTTATAGTTAAAATAGAGAAGGTCAAGTAGTCCAAAATTCTGGGTTTCTTTAGCCTGGCTACATTCCACAGCTGGAGTATTTTCATTCTTTCTTTCTTTGTTAAACGTGTCATATAATACATTCCTCTTTGACGCTAAATGTGTATGATAAGTACACAGGGCATGAATTGCAGTAAAGATAACTGTTGCCATAGGAACCTTAACTTTTGCATTTGCCAAGTTTGAATCTGTAACAGTGCAATCATAAGATTGAAAGGCAGGGGGAGGTCACATCCCTCTGACCATCCCTTTGGAGGATTCCCTTCTTACCTACCTCCATGCCAGCTACATGCTCTCACACATTGGACCAACAGCAAGACCATACACAAGTTGGAGGTGATACTGGAAACACTGCCAGAGTGATTCTTCAGGGGCTGTTTTGGTCCCTTCTGCTCTTAAACACTTCTGAATGAGCCTATAGAGGCTTGTAGGCAGGATCAGGTCTGGCCTGTGTTCGTTGACCCAAGTGTTTAGTAACACCTGCCTTTTTTTTTTTTTTTTTTTTACAATTCCATGTGTTTTCCCTTAGCCACTTGCAGCTACAGAAACACAAAGCATTATATTTTGTATTGTAAGAAGCCAGGATGTTTGTTGTGTGATAACATCTACTTGGACCCATCGTAACCAGGCACTCTGCTTTAGGGGCACGAACAAATCTGTCCCATGAGCATTAGTACCTGTAGTTTCTAGAGTAAAGTGCTGCACAGCAGCTTTCTTCTTCAGGCCCTTCTTCCTAACCTAGCCTCAAAATGGAAATTTCTGCCTTGCTCAAATGCTGATGTATTAGTGTTTGTTTATTCCCAAATAGAACTGAAAATTTGAAATATCAAAGGCATGAAATAGAACTGCATAGTGAAACGACTGTTGCAGATAACAAAACTGCTCATTTCATGTTAGCTCAGTGCTACACTGACATTTTCTGAAGAGGCTCATCACCTTGTGGGAATTTTGTCTGATTTTTTTTCTTTTTTCTTTTTTCTCTGTGTCCCAGAATCTCTTGCTGAAATATAGCTCCTGATAGATTTAGGGCCTAATGGGGAGAAGCCCAAACTTGGTATCCACTGCTGACTTATGTGAGCCTCTTCTGAAGGAATATCCAAGGAGAAGAGAGATAGGAATACAGTCTATACTGGGGAAGTGCTCTGCTACTGCTGAGATATTTTGATATAACCTAGTGAAATAGCTTGCATGCCTCCTATGTATGCTGTACAACTTCTGTGGGAATAAAACATTCTTCTCAACAGTTTTCTGACCAATGATTTTTCCTAGCCTGAAGGGAGGGAGAGAAGAATGAAAGGAAGGAAGAAGGAAGGGAAAGAAGGAAGGAAAGAAGAAAGAAAGAAAGAAAGACTAAGTGAGCAAGAAAAAAAGCATCCTGTCTCTTTTCCAAAACACATACAGTCCTGAAAGAAAAGGAACAGTCAATGGGAGCTGAAAGGTAGCTCCCCAAGCAGCAACCTTGTGTGCTGTCACTTGATGAAGAAAGTATTTGTTCTTTCTCTCTCTTGGGATGATCACCCATGCCAAATATTCTGGCATGTTCCTAAGCCTGCTGTCCAAATTATATTCACTTAGTAACAGGATCATTTGTCTCTGAGTAATGCTCTAAGTTATACCACCGGGGTTTGCAGGGCATGAGAATTTTTGGTGTTGGAAAGGGAATAAAAGACTACCTCCTTTCTCTGCAGGCAAGCAGAGACTCTGCATTCTCTCCATATAGGCTCTTCTTTGTTTTTTGTCCAGAGATTGTCTTAGATCCAAGTCAACCAAAGAAAAGCTGATTATCACCTTCTCACCTATAAATAAAGGGATTACAGAGAAGTTGATGCTGGGTAACTGATCTCCTTCTTGAGCAGCTGAGGGGGATAACCATTATGATGAAACAAATTTGAAGGAAGAATGAAAAAAATTGCCAAGCTAATGATTAATACAGTGCCATAGGTCCAAGCATTGTGGCTGACAGTTGATTCATCATTCATAGTTATTTGTATCTATATAAAAAGAGAGCACAAATATGAGGACTGCTCCAAAACTCTTATCATGTTGGCCCATTATATCAGAGGTAGGTGGTGGTGGTATGGCAGTAGAGATTGTTGGGAAGCCAACAGTATTCCATTACAATATGTTGCTGTGGAACAGATGGCAATGGAGGAGTAATCTGATAAAATAGTTTCTGATGTGGAAGTACATGTGAAGCAAAGATGTGTAACTAAACTCTTCCATGAGGAAAGAGTTGCACCCATTGACATTCATCAATGTTGCTGAATGCTTATGGAGACCAAACAGTGGATGTGAGCACAGTGACACAGTGCGTGGTGCATTTCAGCAGTGGTGACAGCAACAGTGGGTCACCTCCTCTGGTACAGATTTTAACGAATGCATTATGCAGGTTCTTGTTCATTGCTGGTGAAAATGCATAGCTACTGGTGGAGGCTATATTGAAAAATAGTGTTTTGTAGCTGAGAATTTGCTCTATTGAATAGTGTTATTGTGCTCTTTGTGTCTGCTATAGTTTCCACAGAAATAAATAGGAGACATTTTCAGAGTGGCCTACGTAAATAGCAATTTTAATTCCCACTGCAGTAGACAACCAGTTTTTCCTCTGTAAATGTTCACCGTAATGGAAAGTTTCTTGAGAAGCATTAAGGAGAAAAACACCAATGTCAGTTAATGCTGACATCTCTCTCTTTTTTCTTCACACAAGCTTACATTTTTTTTTTGATGTTTTGTTAATGACATATATTTCTTCCTACTTATGGTGGATGCCTTGGAACTAAATTGGTTACAGTTAA